GAAAAGGGAGACACGTAGAACGAAAGATGAACCTCTGGATGGAGCTCTCTGAGCCAGCAAAGGGCAAAGTGAAGTAGAATGTACCTAGGATACAAGAACGCCACGCGAGGATGAGGACTTGTAAACGCGAGTGGTGGGGTTTGAGCAGCTTCTGGGTGGTGTATCTGTTGCGTGCTGTACTTGCCTTCGAGGAGGAGGATAGCGATCAATGAGACTTTCAGCGGAAACAGCGTTTCCCGTCGTGAATATGAGAAAACGGTGATTTCCCCGGCGGGCTTTGGATTGTGCAAAAGGAGGAGGTTGAAATAGGACAAGGCAATAGGCAGAAAGGTAAGGGAACATGGGGTTCCTCGAGTCGGCAATCCCCCACGTAAGCTCATATCAAAATGAATCGGTACCACTGGGTCCGCGATGTGACACTACGCCAGGCGAAGGCCGGGAGGCAACGGGAGGCGTTGCAAACAAGTAGGAGGGAATAGCAAAATACTTACCAGAGTAGTGTGCTGAGCCAGATGTGTTCAGGCAAGACGAGGCTTGATCTCGAAGGATGTTAGCGGTGCAGGCTCAGAGGTTGAGACGCGTTGAGGTAAACGATGAAGGTGTTTCGCGCAAGTCTGGTCCGAGAGTAGGACGAAGACCAAAGGGAGCTGCTCCACGACGGCCTTGAAAGAGGCAAGATCGAGGAAAAATGGCCCGAGGAAGCGCGAAGATGATGAGTGAGTGTGGCAGAGGAAGTGAGGAAACAGGAGCAGAAGAAGTGACTGTTTGGGATCCCAAACGTAGACGTACATCAATGCTCGAGGATGGTAAGGTGATGTTGGAGACGAGAGAATCTTGCGCGCGTGATGAAGAGGGACATAAGCATACCTGAGGGTAATACAGCGCGTATTTGGAGGAAAAACACGTGTGAGGACTGGATCGGAGAGAGGTGTGAACAAGGTGAGGGTATTGGAAAAGACGCCGGAGAAGGGGGAAATGAAATAGGTGGGAGGAGTGGGTGGTTGCTAGTGCTCGAATGGTAAATGATGGATGTACATATTGGGTACAGGTACACTTGGACACCAAATAGCCCCCAGTGAATGGATTTTAGAGAAAAAAACGCTGGGAGGAAGCTACGAGCATCGCCGTTTCCCGCTGAAGATTCATGGGTTGCGATAGAGTACACTCGTGTTGGAATCAACGAGGAAAAGAGACGAACTGACCTGAATCAACGCAAGCAAAGCGTGATCTCCGAGCTGTAAATACGATGGAGCGTACGGGTCAAGAAGAAATGACACAGACGTTGAGTAAAGAAGGGAGAGTGACGGAACGCAAAGGCGAGCGACACGGAGATGATGTTGGAATGGCGTGGAGGAGAGAAAAGAGAAGAAGGGAAATAGAAGGGTGGGAGGGCAGGATGTTTATATAGATAAAACACCAGCAGACTCTGTGGGCAGCGAGGTGATTGTGCTACGGGGCGTGGAGTGTTTGGTCCAAGTGATCGCTCTAGTTCAGGGGAATGATCATTAGGTTGCTGGGTCATGATGGGACGATACATGCAAAAGCGTCTGATAATGTACTCGTCTGAAAAAGCAAACACCCAAGGAGGTGTATAGTGGCTGCTGTTTCGAAGCGGGAGGGTCAGCAATAGGACGAAGACCAGTTTTACATTACTTGTATCAGGACCCTTGGCTCTACCCCTATTCACCTGTCATTGACATGCTATGTTGATATTGCTGAAGCAAAGCTTCATATGTGGCAAATATTGGCTATGCTGACTATGGTTGAACTACCTGACACCTTTGCTTAAGGGAATTATAGACTAATGTGTTAACAGTCCTCCATGTGGGTCGAAATGCAAAGCGAGTACACGAGTTGTTTTGCCTTTTGTCGCTTCCATGATGGTAATCCATTGTCCATCTATGCTCCCTACTTCTGTTATATGGGTTGTGATTCTACAAGGCGTCTGCATCCGCCAGTTCATGGGTTGTGACTCTACAAGGCGTCTGCACCCGCCAGTTCATGGGTTGTGACTCTACAAGGCGTCTGCACCCGCCAGTTCATTCTCGTACTAAAAGGGTGGCACTCGCCAATTCAATGCTCCATGGCTGGGGGAAGTGGTTGTTTGCACCCGCCAGTTGAGTGCTAGTAGTTGTGAGGATCATCTGACCTGTGCGCCTGCTGGTTTTGATCTTTGCAAGTACCTATAGCTTAGTTGAGCGTCTGCGCAGGCTCATGTGATTTGATACTTGTAGAGATGTTAACATAGGTTACACCTCTAAGTTCTGGGGCTTCTGGCATTGGAAGAAAGGAGCAGGCGCACCCGCTCTGTTGATGTTGGTCATCTGAAAGCGTTAGGTGATTGCGCCCGCTGTTTACGTGATTGAATGCGGCGATGGACGTGAGCGTCAGTGCCTTCTGCATTAAGGTTGATAGCTATAGAAGAGCAAGGCTTATCATACTAGTTCTGGTAAGTTGTAAAAGAGTTAGACGTCTGCACCCGCCTGTTTACTTATTCATTAGATTCAACATGTTGCTCCCGCAGTTTTGATTTAATCTGGTCCTGCAGAGCTTGCCCTTTGGCTTAGAGGATTGAGGAAAACTGTACGCTTGTACTTGCTTGTAGAGAAGGAAGAGAAGGGAGGCAATGTTGACCTTGAATCATTGCTTGAATAAGGCGGGCGTCTGGGCGTCATTGACAACCAGGACTTTGGGTCACTACGGTAAATTGGCTGCATGTGAGATACTTGCTCCCTTGGGGAATGCAATGATCAGCAGCCGAAGGAGCTCGGCCAAGCCTACCGAGTTCACCCTTGATATTAGTTTGAAGCGTACAGAATTTTAGATAAGCTGCATTTTTGGTGATATTGCACGAAATGAGCTGTATCAGATGTATTTCTATGCCAGACATCCATTTGCAGCTTATAATTCACTGGAAAGCGTCCATAGAGTCGGTAGTGGTACTCGCACAGGGAGCGTGTGGGCAGACAGCGACACTAAAGAAGCATAAGCTTTCAATGCATTCTTCAATTGTCTCCTTAAAAGCTTCACGGCTGATTGCGTGATAGTTACGTTCAAGTCATAGCCCTATAATATTATCACAAAGCCCTTGGAGGGATGATTGTATTGAGTTAAATAGGGCTTTTCGGTAGCATGGCTACTAGATACCTATGCTTGTTTACCAATGGCGGAGAGTCAGTGTTGTATGAGTATGTCAGCTGTTGGTCGCAAAGCAGTAACAGTCAACGACAATGAGGACAAATGACGTTGAGTAAGTCACGTGGAGATAACTGGGAGCGAGACTTAGTTAAACGTTTTTGGCACTGCAGACAATTGCCCATTTATGTCTTATTCTCATATCATCTCATGCTTCTTCCACAGGTTCATCCACTCCCACACCATGGTATATGTTTGGAAGAAGCTGTCAACACATCTGCTTTTGGCAGAAGAATCAGATCGTATTTTCTTAAGTCATTCATCTATAACCACCGGAAAAAGTCAAGTATAATTCTCAAATCATTACTGAAAACAGGTGCATAAAAAATAGCCCCATTTCGCGGCCAGATCAACAGCACCGCTGCCGACACCAGGGAAGAAATGATTCAAGTGATAAGGCAGGAATAAATATCTTGTATCTTAGTAAAGACCTTTCAATCTTTGCCTCTTTCTGTGTTGTAGCCCTATAGAAGTCAAATACCTCCATTACTGGGTACTAAGTAGAACGTTAGAAAAACGAAGCGACGTCGGTCACCTCAAAGGATATAACTTATTCAAAGATAATCTCACTATTATTTAGTGTTCAATTTGAATGTCAACTCATTTGCGGGCGAGGTTTGAAGTCAACTTATAGCCCAAGGCGCAGCTCATTTATATCGCGATACAGATCTTCATTTCATGCATCTATTAATAGCGCGCCAAACAAGCACATCCACGAGCTTATCCATGAGCGCATCGATAACATCCACGTCCACGTCATCGCCAGAAACAAATACTGATGCGAATTGGTCAAATGCTACATCACCTAGCAATTCTGCAAGTTCCATTACAATAGGCGCTGGGCGTAGGAGGTGGAGTTGGAGGAGCTATCTTGGTGGTGGGGCTTATGTTTGCCTTGATGAGATACAGGAAGAGAGCACAGCGTCAGCATCAGCGGCGAGAACAAGTCAACGATGATGTCCCATGCTCCAGTGACGGAAGATTCCACAACCCGGGTCATTCATGGGGGATCGATCATGGCAACTTCGACTCTCTCGGGCCTGCTCCAGCGTACAAGTCCTATGCAGGTTCGAGGGAACCCACACCACCGTCATTTCAATCTTCGCAATACGCTCGTCACGAACTACCATCAAACCAGATGGTCGATCACGGAAGCAGGCCTAGTGAGCTCCCGACATGACATTGATAGACCCTCATACAAATGGGCCCTAGCTACACGATAAGTTCTGTCTTAAGGCATTTGAGTCGCAACAAGAGAATATGTTGCACTGCAGAATCGAGAAAAACCTTCAAAAATCACAGCTGCATCCCGAACACTCTCCTGGGGATGTTCAACTTGTTCCGTTCGTACTTCGATTGGTTCGATAGACATAGATATATAGCAATATCAAGGGAGCTCTAGTTCAGCTTTTCGTTCATTTAAAACCTAAAGCAAGCTTTCTTCACACAAAGAGGTAAAGGAGCCTGGTTGACCGTCAAAGTCTCCTAATATGGAGTGATGTATAGGGACACCGCTGAAAGTAATCTCCTTGGTTTCTAATCAACTCTGCATGAGATGAGCATGGGCTACAAAGTGATACGCTCAATTATGCCTGGTCCACATCATTTAAGCTTGAACAAAAAGTCATGCGATACCTTAGGTAAGGTTGCATCTGATGGGTACGAGTCTATCGCGTGCGCAATGTAGGATGGAAGTACAGTCATGTGACAGGCACCGAATTGAGTGGAAGGAGCAAGCCTTTGTTCAAGGAAGGCATAGATATAGCACCTACTAATTTGATCATTCCAAGGACAAACAGCAATCAGGGCGTGTAGCGCAGTGGTAGAGCGTCTGCTTCGCATGTTCAATGACATCGAATCTGCAGAAGGTCTTGGGTTCAATCCCCAACTCGTCCATTCATTCCTCTTGTTTGTTTCTCTTCATTTTGCCTCTCTCGCTCTCCCGTGAGCCTTATGCACTGTCTGACTATGCGTCGAGTATATTGCATTTAGTGTTAAATGTTGCCTGTTTTCTGCTTGGAGGTGTACACAATGGCGCACCCTGCAGTTCTCGCGTGATCCGCTCCTGAAACAACAAAAGTTGCGATGCGCTTCGATACAGGTTAAGTAATTGGAGTTGTTTCGATAACTTAGTCGGCCATCGATATGTCGATGTCAGCACCGATGGCGTGGCTCCAAAATGACACAGTTTGCACATTCGATTGATCCTGGATACTTACATGAGCTATTTGATTGATGGTTGTCTTACTTACGTCCAAACATGGGGATAGACGAGGAGCCAAACATCGCGGGCTACATACAGCCAATTCTGACATATGATATTCATTTGGTATAAACGACCAGAAGATGGTGTTACACAACATTTCATGTTTCACATCTTTATAAAAAAAGCAGCCGTGCCGGCCTCCTCATGGCACAGCTAGTGATCAGGTGTGGCGATACGCATCATGCAATTGATCCTGCCAGCATCTGCCTTTTAAGACAAATAGCCCTCTCATAGCTCAATATCGAGGAGCTCTCGTGTGCTCTGCCCGATGAGTCTGTCATCTACTGTCTGTTGCGTTTGCATTGCGACAGATGAAATCATTACAGGGTAAGCGTTCTCGGTCAGGAGATAAACGAAAAGCTGAGATACCATGAGCGAGTTCTGGGAACCTTACTGTGAGTATTCACAACGAACAATGGAACTCGAATGGTTCTCTAAGGCTACGATGCATGGGTCATGCTTTCCGGGCAATGTTTGTCAGGTTTTGCTTCAATACTTTAGATTAGATCTCCGAGTAACAAAAGTCTAATGTCAACCAAAAAGCTGACACCGGTAACGTCTTACCATCGGTCAAGGCGCTCAAGTCTCAACTCTGTATCTATAAGAACAGGATTTAGAAGGAAGTATGTGATGGCCGCGAGCCCAGCGTCGTAATCTCTCTGCGACGTTGCAAGCCTCTCAGTTGCAGTCGAGTTGATTACTTAGTGCAGTTGAGTTTATGATGCGGCAGCCCCGGAACGCGATTTATATTCATCCTCTCCCATTATACAGGAGTACACAAATTCGCTTTACATGCACTCAACTTTGCTGGAGTTAATGCGAAGACATAGGTACATAAGTGCTATGGGTATGCACTATTGGTACCCACATGATGCTGAGGAAGATCAGCATCGTACTCATGAGTATCTTGTACTAGATCCGGACTTCGCTGAGTTTATCAGCTCAGAATATTCTCTGAATAGATCAATAGTAGCGACAAGTAATTATATCACAATCAAAGAGTCATCGCGGTGCTCAAGTCCAACCCCCTTACGGTACTTAGGTAGTTTGTCAAGGTATTCCCGCACAGTGTTAAATCAGCCCAAAACGCAGCCACACTGTAGCTATTATCGGCATTGGCGTCGGAAATATTTACCTCGAATCGCACGTCACGCAGCTCGCCAGCGCAAGCATCACGAGCAACACCCAACAGCAATTGAAAGGCAACACAATGGGCTCGAGCTCGTCCAAGCCTGCCGCGGATCATGTCTGGAAGGCGTGAGTACTTGATGCCGACTATTGCGAAACCGAACACAATGCGCTGACTCGTGCTCCTGTTTAGACCAGGCCCTGTAGCCGTCTCTCAGGATATCGTCGACTCTTTGGCTCACAGCAATGAGGTAAGTACCGTTCAATCGACACCGAGTACCATTCTGAATAGGCGCAATACCTTGCGTTCCCGACGAGGCCGAAACAAAAGCACTGGGACTGCAGCTAACAACCCTAACCCAGAGCGACACCTCCCGCGCCCAGCGCCTCGAGCTCCTAATCCAATCCCGCGTCGCCTCCGAACTCAACAAACTCTCCAAAGACGAATCTGACGCACTCAAAGCGGCGAGAGAAAAAGCATCCGAAGTCGGGTCCAACGAGGAGCCAAAGGGCGACAGAAAGGCCGTATCCGCCGAAGTCGAGACCCTGCGCGCGAGACTAGACAAGAGAAAACAACTCCGTCCTTTACCCGATTACGTCGAGAGCGCAAAGGGAGAAGTCACGAAGTGTCTGATGGAGAACGATAGACGACCGCTCGATTGCTGGAAGGAGGTTGAGGCCTTCAAGGAGGGTGTGCTGAGGATGGAGCGGGAGTGGGTTGAGAAGGTTGTCCGATAAATGTCGCGCCTAGTGAGGAGCTGAAGGCGAGTACGAGAAAGAGACGGCATCATCAATATTGGTTCGACGATGACCTATTGAGGACTGGTTGGGATGTGTGTCCTCTACTGTAACACTACGAAATAGACGCTTCACACAGAAGCTACATCAAGCTGTACAGACGACGAGTTTCACTTTATATTGCATATTTATCGGCGAAACTCCGAACTGCCTCCTTGCCAGGAATCCATACCGCATTCACAAACGGTTGTATTCACGTAAGATCATTGTTAAACTCCAAATAAAGCGCCTCATCCATCATACCAGCCTCTTTCGCCTCCTGTCTATCCACCTCAGCCTTTCGTCTCAGTCCCTCAGCTCTCATCCTCTCTCTTCTTGCCTCCGGATCTTCCCACATACTGCCATCTTTCTTCTTTGGCGGACTTGTTGCTTCCAAAACCGCGGTACGAAATCTCTCAATCCTCTTCTTATTTTCCTCGAAGCGCTCGTTCGCGATATCTAGGAGATTTGCCAGATACTCATCCGAGACTGTACATTGCGTAACGCCGTCAATTTGCACTCCGATCAGTGACTCGAAGGATAGGCCCATGGATCGGATTGCTACGATTGGTGTCACCGGCTCGGAAGAAGTCGAGGTGATATTTATGGCGCCGCTTTCGCGGAACCCGGCGACGAGACCACAGCGAAGGAGGAGCTGGGCGTGGGAAAGTGATGCTGTGAGGACGTGTAGGATCTATGGGCTGTCAGTATGTTGTAAGTGGTACTTCGGCTGGAACGTGATGAACTGGGATCGTAATCTTACCATCGGCTCGAATTTGAAATGTATCAGCCTCTTGTCCTTTTCCTTCATCTCCCTATCACTCGTCTTCTCGCTCAAGCCCTCACTCTCATCATTTCCATCTAGCCCGAACAGTCTTCTCACACCATCAACCCCAGGACTTGTGACAGGATCATGAGAAACAAACTTCCAATTCCCGCCCCCTCCCTTTCCACCCACAGCAGCAACAGTGCTCACCCTCCGGTCTCCTCCCTCACGCTCTGCTCTGTCATTCTCATCCTCGGTTTCTCCATTCACCGTCCGCTCCTCTGTACTAGTCTTCCGTCCCTCAACGAAGACACTCATCCGTCCCGCACAGCTACTCGTCGTGACGAATCCCTCCAGGCCATTGATCTCCCCGATCAAGTCCCTGATACCCTCGTCTACCGATCCCTTGGGTGAGGCATCGGAGTACTCTGCGTTCGGGACAGCGAGTTGCTCTAATATCCTGTCCTTTTTCTCCACGAATATTATTGGTGGATCCACAAGTTTGGAGGTGGTCTTGTGTTTCATCTTGAACCCTTGAGCTTTGTGTGATCTTAGAGTGATGAGGGCCGGAAAGGATGGATGAGGGGGACGCTTGCTTTTGTGTACAAGAGAACTCTGGAAACAGATTCGAGATGTAACTGAGAAGATTTAACGCGTATCCAGTTCGCATGGGTTTGTAATGACAAATTGTGGTGTATTTTGATCAGTTGCGAAACTTCGAGTTGACAGGCGAGATAGGTTGAAGGACGACAGTTTCCCCACCTCAAGAAAAGGTGTAAAACTTCTGATCGCAACCGTCCGTGATGTTAGATTTAATCTTTTTTTGCCCTACCAACAGCAGTTCACATTGATCCATCGGTTAAATGCACTTCGCTACTACTACATTAACAGACTTTGGAGAATTCACGATCTCACTGCGCATATGTTCAAGGTGGGAATCGCTGGTGCAGACGATGCCGCGCACAGCAGACATTGTTGCGGTTGGAAAGACTTGCCATAGCCATTTTCGATGACTATATGGTGGGACGTTCAATTGCCGAGTCGGCGACAGCAATTGAAGATGCTCTATTCTATATGGGATGACTTGTCGGGGCCTGAGAACTTTGAGGCACTCTAACAAGTTGGACGTGGACAAACTCCTGAGCCCTGAGGCGAGCTATCAGGTCGGGTTCTGGACCGTTGGACTACAGTTGTACCCGACTACACTAGCGGCCCGGGGTCTCCCTTCCCCCTCCATTTGTATCATTCCTGACGCGACAGTACTTAGTAGTAGGCGTGAAAACAGAATTTACTCCATTGGGGGAAAATTCTCATGATTGGATTTGTGGTAGCATGTGTATTTTCGTAAGTTTTCTCGTGTATTAAGTTACAAGCGGGATTGAGATGAATCGGGTACACAGCGAGGGCTTTTGTACGAAACCTGTACTTCCAGTTCGAGAACGGAGCACCCCGCCATGAATGCGCCGAGACTGACTCTTTTTTCGCGACCGGTTGACTCACCCCGCCTCCAGCACCTGCAACGTCTTTAATTTCATCTTTCACCCTCGCTGCTGCAAGTTTCGGGGAGCATTGTCGATTTCGAGCGGCGCACTATCTTGGACCCTGGGATCGGCACTTCTGTGATTCTGCAGCCATGGCGCCAACTACCACCCTCAAGGGCGACAAGTTCGACCGGTCGCTGTTCGACTCGGTCATGAAACGGCGCTTCTTCTTCACAGAGTCGTTCGAAATCTACCGTATGTCTGCCAACTTCAAGGGCGATAACCGTGGTCTCTACGACTATGGCCCGCCGGGCTGCGCTCTGCAGTCCAATGTCATCGATGCGTGGAGGAAGCATTTCGTCTTGGAGGAGAACATGCTCGAGCTGGATTGCACTGTCATTACTCCCGAAACCGTCCTCAAGACCAGTGGCCACGTCGACAAGTTTGCCGATTGGATGTGCAAAGACCCTGTCAAGGG